AAAACCAATCGGGAGAAAGGCGGGCGTCAGCTCCCACTGTCATTGGCGAACAGCGCGATGCAGATTAGCCAATCGCCAGCTTGCACTCCCGCGAGCTCTTAGCCAATCAGCAGCGGGGCTGGAGCTGTTGGCACAAGGGGCTGAGGAAGGGGCTCGTGGGCAGCGCGGCGGTTAAAATGGCCTCCCCTTCCCTTCCTCCACGCCCCCAGAGGCACCAGCACCAGCTCGAGGTGCCATCACCGGGCCAGCCCCCAGGCTCCCCGTGCCGGAGCAGGGCTAGGGGTGGCCAGTGCCCGCTGCTGGGGGGCTGCCCTCCTGCCTGCCCCCCACCCCACCGCTATAGGGGTCAGGCCGTGGTACAAACCCCGCTCCTTGTACTTGTCCCTCTCCCACCTTCCATCCCTTCCCCTAAGGGAAGGGCCCGGGAAAGGAAAGTTTGGGAGATGGCAGCAGGAGGCGTCGCTTCCTTTTGCGGTCCCGTTGTCAAAAAGCAAGCCAGAAAATAAAAACCAAACCACGATGGGAAGTTGTCTTCCTCTCATGTCACCCTGTACGTTGGTGAGAGTTAAAAGAGAACTGTTTGTTTTATAAATTGTACTGCTACAGCTACTAGTACATAGCAAGTTTATTTCGCATGACATATTCTAAGAGCTGTTGAAAATGCCTATTTTATCTGTTTTTAACAACAGGAAGAAGATAAGATTTTTTATAGCCACATCTACGTTATAGCTCTGTAAAGGACCAGCAGCTTCTTGGATAGCACACGTGCGTACATGAACATGCAAAAATAAAAGCATGAGCTGTTAAGTCCTTTGCAGACTCTCAAGAGGCAGCAAGCTGCTGGTGATACTCTGTGTGTCCTTTAAAAAGTATTGCAGAGGCCTGAAAACAACTGGTTCAGGCAATGTGGGTTTTACACATTTGACCACTGAAAACACCCCTTTTGAAGACAGAATGGAAATGAATCTTTCTGTATTTCATGCCAGAGAATAGTCTTACGGGGGGGGGGGCCTGAGCAAGAAGCAGAACACAAACAGGGCAGCACTTCAAAAGAGAGATACATGAGCAGCATTACAGAGAAAAGCTTGTAGATGGCAAATAAGCCTTAAGCCCAAAACCACCAAAGTTCATTCAAGTTAAAAAGAAGTTACAGAAAACAAATATGCAAGAGTAGTGCAGGAAGTTACAAACATAGGTAAGAGGCAAGGGTTTGCTTTTGATTTTTAGATGGCAGGAAAGTGCACTGGCTAGAATTTCTATTCCTTAACCACGTTCTCTCTCTTCTGAGATCTTACTTTAAGATGAACGCTCCATCTTTTCCTCCAGTTGTAGGATACCTGTTTTCAGATATCAATTACGATTCTGTCTAATTAATTTTAACTGCCTCTTAAAATTGTCACTCTTCCCAATATTCCAAGATGAAAAATAGCATTAAATGCCCTTATTTGAGAAGAAAGAATAAATATTTACTGCAGAAGTTGGGTTCATTTCACAAGACTGATAAAAGGTAGCGTGAATGATTTACTGCTTTCATTATTCCAGTTAAATAAATCTCCACCTTTCCAAGCTATTGAAGGTGCCAGAATATAAAGTTATGCTGGCAGAGTAGATTGCATTTGATCTATGTACCATGACAAGTACGGAAAAATTGTGGGCTTCATTGCTATATTCACCCACTCCTTCCTGAATATAAGAATAAAGTGTCAATACAAAGAGCAGCCTTTGCTCTGTTCCTTCAGCATAAGAAAGCACGAAGCTGCTCTGAAGATGTAATGAATATACAGACTGGCACCATGGAAACAAAGAGAAACTCCCTTTTTAACTCTTCCAACTGACATTCAGGCTGTGGCACAAAACAAAAGTGTTCCTACTCATGAACGTTTTATTTGCATATATCACAGTTCAACAGTTCACGGCAGGATAAACATAATGGTTCCTTTGATTTTTTTTTTTTTTTTTTTAAGTGTATGTATGAAATCTTAATCACTGTGGAAGCAAACAACTTATCTGATTCAATCTGGTTTCTGTCTCACTTGAAAAGGAAAGTGTTTAAACATACTGTAATTGCTTCAAAAGAATAAGAGCATGAGTTTCCTACAGAGCTCAGCAGATGGGCATCTCTGATATCAAGCCACAGTCTTTAGTCTGAGCTTCTTTCACATAGTTTGGGAGGCTGATAAGTGTACTATAAGAACTTGGACAACGTTTAAGAAATTCTGCTCCTTATTAGGACTTCTGTTATCACTTTATCACAGCTTGCTAGTATAGTCCACATCTCACCCAAACACAATCAAACCACCACTGAGAAAGAAGTCTGAAAAATGCAGTGCCAGAGTTGTCAACCATTGCCAGAAGTACGATGAGTTGTCTTGTTTATTTTCTAGCTCACTTCCTTTAAGAACTTATCTTTAATACTACCAGGAAGACTGTTCATGCATGCAAAACCCTCAGGATTTGCTTAAGTTTAGCATTTTGATGCTAGGAAGAAAGAGTCTTGTTTTAAGCCATCTAACATGAGAGGTATCACCAGAACTATCATCCGCATCAGAAAACGGAGACTGAGAGCTTCTAGCAAGCTTCACTAGCAAAATTTAGAAACAAAAAACGAGATTGTGAGGGAAAGTTTTATTTGACTTGTTTTAATGCCCACATCCTAAGATGAGAGGTATTTAAAAAAAAAAAAAAATAGCTGCAAAGAAGAAGCAAAACAAGAACAAATCTTTACATCTTTAGGAAAGCAAGAAAATATAGGCACAAGTTTACATTCATTAGTTTCAGATATGGCAGAGGAATGTTCTACTGAAGAAGGGTAAATAAAATTCTGCTTTCCCACCTCCTTGTAAAGCCACACTGGTCTCGTAGATACAGCAAGGCAGTTTTTCCTCATAATTTTTTTTATTAAGATAATTGTGATTTAAAGATCATAAGGACCCTTTTAGAGCCATTCGGTGTAGTCTCTAAATACATACTGAAGTATTGAGTATGTACTTTAAGCACTAGTGAAGCTTGTCAGAACAACCTCCACATAAAAATTGAAAGTCATGCATATTTAGAATTCTGTTTAAGCATCAGAAACTATTGGAGGATTTTATTTTATAGCTGCTAAGCCATTTTAAATCCTCATCAGTGCTAAAATCTTGCAAGTGTCAGCCCAGAATGATTTAACCCCTTGAGAACAAGGGCTCATCGTAATAAGAGGCAAATACCTTATCTCTAGAGATTCTACCCAAATATATCTATCTCATCTGCTACTAATACTGAAGAAGTTCCTTTGCTCCAAACACAACATGCTGCTGAACAAAAAGATTTTCTAGTGATTATCTTACTAAGCTGGAGGGCAGACAGGGGCTCAACTATAACCTTTTACTCTACCCTGCAAAATAGATGTGTATGAGGTGGCTGCCCACTTCAGCCAAGCTCTGCTGCGGAAGGGTAAGCAGGAGCAGCCCAAACCTCTATTTGGGTTCATGTCCAAAGGAGCTTAATGCAGCAGGTCACTTACCAACCCCTTCAGGTCAAGGAGAGCTTCTTGCACAGGAACACCTCCTTTGAACCCAGTGATCTGAGCGGCATCCTTTAAAGCCTGCAAACACTTCTTTCTTTTGCCTTTCCTCTGTAGCTGCAATGTGTTTTACTGGCTTCCAGAAAACTTTCACTTCTTCCCCAGTAAAGGGAAGAATCAGTTTGTCTCAGCAGACATCCTTGGCTTGTGCAGGAACAAGTTAGCGTTGGCGGGTGGAAGGGGGAAACCTCAACCTTCAAAAAAAGCTCTAAGTGCTCTTGACGAAGACTCCTCTTCACCTTTGCTGGAAGGGCAGCGTACCCTATTTGGAATAGGGGCTAAGGAAGAGAATAAAATGGTAATAAAAGTGTCTTTCTTCCATTTGATTGACTAAGAATTTACAGTTTCTTAGCTTAAAAAGCCACAAGGCAAGTTTTGCTTCATGGACACCCTGTTTTAATATCCTCTCCTGTGAGGATGTGAAAAAACCAAAGTCAGTGTTTTTGTCCGTACGCAAGGCAGGCAGGCTGCCCCAAGCACCAAGGCCTAAAGACATTCAAAGTAGTAAATAAATACAAATAAAACAACTCTAAAAATCTCTGAAATGAACAGCATTGATTCATTAGAATTACAATCCAGCTTATTACATTAATCTTCACATTTTAGCATCTGCTTAACCACTATACAAAGCTGCTGAAGTTGCTCTTTCTTCTAAACCAGCCACACAAGAGCACAAAGCACTACAAAATATTTTTGGCAAAGTTACTTGCTTTCAGAATTTAACATGCTTTTGAATCACGGTCCACATGTAACAGGTATGACCTGCTAATACAACACCCTCCGTTTCTTCTCTCACTGCCTGATGGCAGGAGCAAGACACCTCAGAAACCTTTCCTAGTTTCAATACCCTCCCTTACATCCTTCTCATAGCAGTTTATTCCATGAAGCCTTACCAAGGACTGCTGTTCCTCACTTCCGCCTCACCATTTTCTTATGTATTGCATTAATCTAGTATTCAGGATAAGCCGCATCAGTCTGATGTGCTTGTAGAGCAGCAGGTGCTGCCTGCTCCACTCCCTTCTTGCAAGGGTCTCAGGAGTATTATCTACTCATTTCACACCTCCTTGTTTACTTTTTCCCTGCTTATTTCCTTCCTCCTTTTACTAGCAGAATCCACACTAAAGATACGAAGAAGGAAAAAGAAAAGATTTATATTCTCCAAGTCCACGTACTGACTTTCCCCTTCTACGGGAACTCCAGATTCTTAAATTTTTCACTCAGACAAACATAGTTGGATAAGACACAAGGGATAACAAATCACTGGGGAAAAAAAGTGAAGCTTAGTGTTGTGAAAGCCCTCATTCTCTTCTCCCTGAATACCTCCTCAATCTGAGGCTGGGATTTGGAGCCATATGTGGACAAAAACAGGAGAAAAGACAGGCAGCACCCTCAGCCTTCATCTGTGGCATTACAATCGGAGCACTAAGCATATCACTGCAAATCTCAAACAAAACCCAGGACGGCCTCAAGGCCAGCTCACTCAAATGCTGCTGTCTTACACTAGCATCCAACTCAGCACGTGATCAAGAGCAGCTAACTTTCAGGTGCCAGCTCTAAAGCCAGTATCAGGATATTTAAGCAGAGCCCTTCTCAGCATGGCAAGGACCTACTACGCCTGCATTTGGTATCTATCCAAAATTACATCATGTTTTTTACTATAGAAAAATTACATAAGAAGTTGTTTCCTCTCTAACAGCTTGACCCCAGCTCTCCAGCTACCTGCACACATAATCCTTTTTGTGCATCACATCCAACCACCTCATCTCTTACTGCCTTATGCATAACAGCAATCGACACCGCTCTATGCCAGGTCCCTCTGCTTATGTACTTCATGAAAACTGTTACTGGCCAATTCTGAAATATAGCAAGGCACTTTGATGGATGTTAAAGACTGTGTGCGTGCACAGGCAAGATACAAACCCACCCCCTCCTCACACTAGTTTGTCTTAGAAGCAAACACAGACTTCAGCAGTCTCCCACGTGCGGATGACCACAGTACAGAGCCAGACATCTGGCCTGCAAAGAACAGCAACACGGAGGGAAGAGACTGACTCCCTTAGAGCTTCAGGCCGGTTACAAAAGTCTGCATTTTACTTCAGTGCTTTACAGAAGTATTTCTTCCTCCCTGGGAAAAGAAATCTCTGCTAGTCACATTGCATGTGTTAAAACAGGTAAGGTAAAAATCAGCAGTAACGTCTGTAGAGACACAGCAGAGAAATAACATTAAAAATTCCCAAAGCAAACAAATCCCCTTAAATTATCTTTGAAGACCTAAGGGTGAAGTGGAGAATTTACCAGTGATGTTCCTGCTCCCCTATGTGATCGTAAACATCAGAAAGCATCTCCCAGATAACGCACAGGTGGAATGGGTACATATGTTGCCCCATTCAAGAAAATGGGGCAAAAATCTGGGCCCAGGCAGTTCATAGTTCATATGACACATCAAAAATAACAATAAAAAAAGAACAGGAAGGTGGAACAAAGAAGAAATTCAAACCATAAGCTGGCAAGTGGTCCAGGATCCATCCCAGCAAACACTACTGGCTACAAAAAGCAGACGGTCCCACCAGGTTGCTGTGTGTTGAGAAAGTCTTGCTGCCACCACTGACCGTTGCAGGTAGTTTTAGCCACTTGTGGGAGGAAAAAACGTCCTTATATGAAACTGTTTTTCCTCCCCTGATTCACATCAGATGAGCTCCTTCAGCGGTTCATTTTCACCGGGAAGCGTGCCATTCATCTCAGGGGAGGTCTCGGTGCCCAGATACCCCAAGAGGATCTCACTGCGTCGCCGTGACAGCTGCAAAATGTCTTCTGCCAGTGACTGAACTGTTGTGTATCTCACATTGTCCAGGTCAAACATGTCCTTCAGGTATTGTACTATCTGGTGCTGCAAAGATATGAGGAAGGTTGACAGTAAGGAGACTTTCTCTCACACCTTCCAATACCAACTGCCTGGACTGCAGCAAGCAGAGAATCCCATATGGAATTTTGCACATCTGCCAGCAAGTAAAGATCTACTTCAGGCTGCGTATTACTTCTGTGGCTAAACCACTCATGCCTAGCAAACAGGACAGCAGAACTCCTAAAGTCAGGAGTGCAGTGCTAATCTCTGTTGCAATAGCCACATCAAACGTTTTATGAATGCAAAAATCAGCCTCTCATGGTTTCATCAACAAAAAAATAAAAACAGGATTTAGGCTTTATGATCAAATGCGCAACTTGTAAGATGCCATGTACGCTTCAGTAACTTATTCTTTAAGCATATGCATATATACCCTTATTCTTTTCCACTAAGGATGGTGCAAAGTGACCTCGTCAGACCTAGTTTTGCTATCAGCCATGGTAAATCATGATGGGAATTCTTATCAATCTTAATTCAGCAATCTGCATTTCAAAAAACAGGTGTTTTGTAGAAGGCTTTTGTACAGAGCCAAGTTTCTTCATAGTATTTCAGTCAAAACTAACCATCAAAAGCACCAGTCTGTAAGCTTTAAGCCACAAGACAGTAGGACTCCCACACAGACAAGGTACAGAAAAGTCAACTTACCTTGAAGAAAGCGCAGACTTCAGATAGCTGCTCTTTGGGCCCCAGAAAACCAAAGGCTAGAACAGGACTGACATGCTCCGATACGGAGTAGAAATGAGAGATAAAGCCATCTGGTACCTGCCACGAGGCAAGAAAAATTGATACCTCTCAGTTCTCAGACAGAATTAGCAGCTTATTATATAGAATCTACCAAATTCCATGCCAGAAAGCACTGCATTTCAGTAACTGAAGAGCTACATAGAACATCTCTTCCTGCAGAATTATATTTATCTTTGAGAACCCTTGAAGGATTGTTAGAGCTTTCTATGTTCACGCTTCTAAACTACTATTCCAGGAGGAAAGTAAATAGAAGAAAATGGAAGGTAACCATTGGGTAGTCTTTATAGTCCAGAGATGATAAAGAGAGTCTTTGGTCTAACATGAGAAAGAGCATGCAATTATCTAAGCTTCTCCAGAATGAGGTGACTAGTGCTACATCAAGAGCCAACAGAGCTACTGCATGACCATGCCAGGCCAGCTTCCAAAGCTCTCATTACGCTTTGTATCATCTCATGAGGCAAATCCAGTCGTACCATCTGGTTGCGGGATAGGAGTTGAAAACTTGCCAGATGCCACAGGCCCTGTGGCACAACTGGGGCTGCGAAGCTGCAGTTTCCTGTTCTCCAGGTCCATGAACTCATCTGCTGTGAGCCCTTAAGAAGCCACAGGTTTAAGGGAAACGCATTAAGCCAAAGCTGGTCAACTGGCAGTGCTGGGAAGCAGGGAAGCGCAGGAGCCCATCATGCTGCCAGCAGGTAAACTACAAGTCAAGAGCAGTCCCTTGCTGTCTGTGGCCATTCCTGCAGGACTGTGAGCAGGGAGATGGAACACCGGACAGGGAACATTTTTTTGATTCCTCTCATTAAGGAGAATAAACTCAGAACTGATTCAATAAAAACTGTTGTGGTACTGAGGCAAAGGCACAACAGCAGGACCCCAGCACTCCCAAGCGTCACAAAGAACATGATTCAGTTCATTCTTATACCACTTAGGTGTAATATCCATGGCAAGATCCATGTCATATCTTTTCAACCATGCTACATTCTTTCACTTTTAATTTATTTCACTCACCATCAGAAGCCTTCTTTTTGCTTTCAGAACTGACCAGCAGGCAGTTGCTAGGGCCTACAATTAAGGGAGAGAGACAATCACCTACTGGGTTTACTTTCCAGAAAAACAGAGTTCACAAACACATTGCCATCAAAATATTAAAGCAGTGGCCCTTTTGTGGCCAACAATTCTAAAATCAGTTAGAAAATCTAAGAGGAAATGGAAGCAAATTCGGCTGCTCCAGATCCTCTGCAGATCAGCCAGAGCGTGTTTGAAGATCGCTGATACAATCTGGCACGGCTGGCAAGCACCCCAGCACGTGCTTGCATGTGCATGCTTACACAACCTTACCTGTGTAAGCAGGTAACAGTTGGAAGGGACTTGCCAACCATCATCATCTCAGTCCTCAAAACTGATTATTCTTATACATGCATCTGGCCAGGACTAGAAGAAAGTGCTGCTATTCATGCCTCAATGTCTACCGAGATACCACCAGAATGAACGGCCAGCTGCAAAGAAAACACTGTTTTTCCCCATATTTTGATCCTCTTATTCTCATTCATGAAAGTGTACGCTGTTATCTTTTAACATCTCCATGGCATCACTGATAATGGCTGCTAGAGAAGTAAGCCTACTGGAGCCAACCCAGCTGCTTTTAAAGGAAAGCTTTCCTGTAAACAATTTACATGTACCAGAAGCCTGTTTGGAGTTTCAGGAAAGCAAGATATTTTTAAGGGAAAAATCCAGCTCAGCCAGGACAGCTGTAGTTATACCCTTTTCTAGCCTTGGCACTGTGATCTCATGCTCCAAGCAAGGACTACCCGTTTCACGCACCGTCTCCTTGAAGCTGTCGGAGAGCCACCGGTTGCGCAGCACAGCCAGCACAGAGGAGGGAGGGTTCTCCAGGTCCTCAAAAGCGTCCATGAGGATGAAATCCAGCACAATATCAAAGAAACTCATGCACACCACCTGCCAGACAGCAGAACAGTTCGACAGTTCGTAAAGGAAACAGGCTTAAAAAGACACCATCGAGATGAACTTTTTCTTTTGGCTTAAAACAGCAAAACAGAATGAATGGAAGTTTGGCACGGACATAACAGGACTGAGCTGTGTTCATTCAGTTCAGTGGGCAGCACTCACGGCATCAAGAGAGGGGCTGGCCAAGGGACTTATTAATCTTGTGTCCAGGAGAAGTCCAGTCAAAAGGCAAACAAATCTTACACAGCTAGAGACAGTAGCTGTGCCCTCCAGAAGAAGCTGGCTGTGCAGAACTCTGAGTTTTTGTTTTGTTTAAGGAAAAAAAAAAACCACTGCTGACATTGCTGAAGGCAATCTCAGTCCTGATTAGAGGTATTTCCTTCCCCATATATTAGTCTACTAGATACCCTGATTTGCCACAGAGTTTAAATATCCAAACGCTTCCCCTGCCCTCCAGTGTACACCTGCAAAATAATCACGTTTCAGCAGTTCTTTCACTCCTGGGCCATTCCTACATATCAGTTACTCCAACTCCTTTGCAGTTTTCTAGAGAGAAAGTCTTTACCAACCCCTCTTCCCTCCAGCTCCTGCTGAGTGGTCGGCCAGGTCTCTTGCTTCAGTGCATAACGTAGCATCTCTTCGTAGCTTTCCAGAAAGCCTTTGGGATTCTGGGAGAGAGCAGAGGAGAGGGGGAAAAAAAAAAAAAAAAAATCAGAAGGTGAAACAGTTGTGTGGACATTTCAAAGTTTGGCCAATCTATTTTGAGCTAAGAAAAATAAATAAAGATTATAAAAAAAAAAATACCACCACCACGACGTGTGCCTGGCCAAAGTTTTTAGCCAAAATACACTTCGCAAAGAGAGAGAGTTAATTTTGGGGGGGGGGGGGGGGGGGGGGG